TTGGGTGCTTACTGTCATCTTGTCCTCTGAATTGCTGATTCATTCCTCTGCTTCATCCAACCTGATGCTGATTCCTTCCAATGTATTATTCATTTCAGATATTGTATTCTTCATTTCTGAATGGTTCTTTTTTATGGTTTCTGTGTCCTTTTCAATGCTTACTGTCTCATTAAGTTCTCACTGAAGTCATCCATTCTTCCCCTAAGATACTTGAGCATCCTTATAACCATTGTTTTAGACTCTGCTTTTGGCCCTGACTGGTGTGGCTCAGTGGGTTAGGCATCATCCCACAAAGGTTGCCAGTTCAATTTCTGGTCAGAGCACATGCCTGGGTTGCAGACCACATCCCTGGATGGGGGTACGCTGGCCAGGTTCCTCGTTGGAGTCATGCACATTAATGTTTCTCTCCCTCTTTTTTTTCTTTTCCCTCTTTCTTCAACCCTCTTCCCACCATCATTCCCCCACCTTAGTTCATGTCCATGGGTCATACATATAAGTGCTTTGGCTTCTCCATTCCCCATACTATTCTTAAGCTCCCCCGTCTATTTTGTACCTACCATTTATGCTTCATATTCTTTGTACCTTTTCCCCCATTCTTCCTCTGCCCTTTCCCCACTGATAACCCTCCATGTGATCTCTATTTCTGAGATTCTGTTGCTGTTCCAGTTGCTTGCTTAGTTCCTTTTTCTTTTTTTTAGGTTTGGGTGTTGATAGTTATGAGTTTGTTGTCCTTTTACTGTTCATAGTTTTGATCTTCTTCTTTTTCTTAGGTAAGTCCCTTTGACATTTCATATAATAAGGGCTTGGTGATGATGAACTCCTTTAACTTGACTTTATCTAGGAAGCACATTATCTGCCCTGCCATTCTAAATGATAGCTTTGCTGGATAGAGTAATCTTGGATGTAGGTCCTTGCCTTTCATGATTTCAAATACTTCTTTCCAGGCCCTTCTTGCCTGCAAGGTTTCTTTTGAGAAATTAGCTGATAGTCTTATGGGAACTCCTTTAACTGTCTTCTTTTCTCTTACTGCTGTTAATATTCTGTGCTTGTTTTTAATCTTGGATAATGTGATTATGATATGCCTTGGTGGGTACTTCCTTGGGTCCAAACACTCTGAGCTTCATGGATTTCCTGGAAGTCTATTTCTTCTGCCATATTAGGGAAGTTTTCCTTCATTATTTTTTCAAATAAGTTTTCACTTTCTTGCTCTTCTTCTTCTGCTTCTGGCACCCCTACGATTCATATGTTGGAATGTTTAAAGTAGTCCTAGAAGTTCGTAAACCTCTTCTCACTTTTTTGAATTCTTATTTCTTCATTTTTTTCTGGTTGAATGTTTATTTCTTTCATCTGCTCTAAATCATTGATTTGAGTCCCAGTTTCCTTCCATTCACTGTTGGTTCCCCATATATTTTCCTTTATTTCACTTTTTATAGCCTTCACTTTTTTTCTCTATTTTGTGACCATACTCAACCGTTTCTGTGAGCATCACGATTACCAGTGTTTTGAACTCTGCATCTGATAGGTTGGCTGTCTCTTCATTGCTTAGTTATATTTTATCTGAAGCTTTGACCTGTTCTTTTATTTGGGCCATATTTTTATGTCTTGGCACACCTGTTACATAGTAAGGGGTGGAGCCTTAGGTATTTGCTGGGGTGGGGCCTGTGTATATGAAGGAAGGGTCCCTCTCCCTCTCTTTCAGTTTTTCTAAAAAGAAATAAAATCTGTTAAAAAATAAACTCTTTATCTGGAATCTTCGTTGCTTCTATTTCATTTAATTATTTTTCTGTGGATTTGTTTTATTCTTTTATTTGGAACATATTTCTCTGTCTCCCTATTTTGTCTCTGTGTATTAGATAGATCTTCTATGACTCATAAACTTGCTATGATGGCTTTATGATGTAGGTGTTTTCGGGGCATAGTGGTGCATTCTTCCAGATCATCTGAGCTCAGTGCTCCAAAAATGTTTCTTGTGTGTTGTGTGACCCCTCCTGTTATAGTTGAGACTTGAATACTGTTGGCTATTTGATGGGTGGAGTTAACCTTTCAGGCTAGTTGACTATTAGCATAAATCTCAATCACTGTGTATGAGTCACTATGCATGGACTGCCCCCTGAGGTGTTGTTGCTCCCAGCAGATTGTGGTGTCTGCTGGAATTCCCCTTTACATGTACCACTTGTGTGACTAATTTTGTTGAGCTCCGGTGTGGTCTGAAGACCCCTAATGGTTGTGTTGGTTCTGGGTCCACTTCCGCAGAGTTCAGGTACAGGTAGATGTCAGATGTTCTGTGTAACTAGCTTTGGGCTACCTGTCTGGAGCTGTCATGCTATTTAATGTTTTTGGCTGTGTCTCCTGGTCCTTGGTGTGCCTGTGAGGGGCCAATCTGTATACAAGGGTCAGCTTCCTCCAGCTTAGATCTGGGGGAAGGTTGGTAAAAGTCCTGAGGCTCTTTGAGGTCCACCTCTACCTGTCAGCTACCCTACCTCCTCCTAAAGTTGCCTGGTCTTCCACCAGAGACTTCTGAGGAAAGACTATAGAATGAACCCAGGCTGCCATGACCCACAGACCCTTCAACAGGTAATGAGCCCAGTAGGGCAGGGTGAATGGGGTCGGGAGGATGGGGCTAGTCGATTTTCTGCTGGGGTACACATGGTCAGACAGTCAATGAGGGGAGAGTGATTCCCACTGCAGAGCTATGCCAGTCAGTCTCTGCCAGTCTCCAACTCTGGCTCCTTCAGGAGGAGCATGCTGCAGGTTCAGGTTGGTACAGCCAGCCATCATCTCTTCAGGATGAAGCTTAGCAGGGTGGAACCAGTGGAATTATGGAGGACAGATCAAAAGAGTGTCCCATTGACAGTGGTGTAGGAGGGGACCAAGCACTTCATCTTGGTCCCAGATAGTAGCCTCCAAGGGAGACACACTCCAAATGTCCCAGTTCCAAGCAACACTACCTCCCCCTATCCTTCCCGCACCCCCAGCCATGGAGCTGAGCTCCACAGGATGAGGCCATGGAGACTTGGGAGGGCAGATCCAAACCGTATGTCATTGGGGGTGGTGCTAGTAAGCCTGTAGGAGAGGGGTTGGGCACTTCTTCCCTTTTCTGGGCAAGAACCCCTGAGGAAGACTTGCCTCCCCATACCCCAAGACTAAGCTCAGAAGGGCAGGGCCTGCAGCTGCTGGAAAGGCAGTTCAAATGAATCCTGTTAGGGAAATAGCATGGACTGAGCTCACAGTAGAGATAGGAATGCTCCCCACCCCATGATGTAGCCTCATGATCTAGCACCCGCCCATCTGATTCCCAGACAAAAAGCCTCTTAAGGAGACATGCTCCAAAAGTCTCAGCTCTGCCAGGCACTCTTATATTCCTGCATTACTGAATTCAGGAGGATGGGGCCACAGGAAGTGGAAGGGCAAGACACACAATTCAACAGGTGTGGGGAGGGGCACTGGCTTTGCACTCAAGGTGGGTAAGAACAGTCTCCTTTCCAAAGCTACACAATTCACTGTCTGAGTCTCCACCAAGAGCTTCTCCAGATGAAGAGCACCCCAAAAGTTCCTGCTGGGTGCAACCAGCAGGCCACTGTGCAGGACCTAAGCACCATAGAGTGGTGCTGCCAGTAGTTGGGCAGTGGATTCCCAGGCTGGTGCTGTAACAACAGGAGAGCTCAACCTGGGAAGGTGGCATCTGGGCGTTTAGCAGATGCTCTTCTCTCCCAGGTTACTGAATCCCCACTGATTATCACTACCAGGTGCTATTCAGACTCTTCTACTTCTCTCCATTACTCTGGGTTGGGGATTCCTGCATGGGATTCACACCCCATACTCCTGGTGGGAGAGGAAGTTTTGCAGCTGAGATATTCTTCCAGCCAAACTGCCACACATGTGTGCAGGGGCTAGGCCTTTCCACATCTCTGCCTTTGTTACCAGTCTCTGTGTAGCTTCTTCTGCAAATCCTTGGTTATAATAGTTCAGCTAGGCTTCAGTTGGTTTTTCAAGTTGGGTGCTCTATAATTTAGCTGTAAATCTGGTTTGGCACTGGAAGCAAGTGAGTGTACCTTCCACCTACTCTTCAGTCATCTTGGAATCCATACCTACATTCTTTTTTTTTAAGGAACTGTCTTAAATGATTAAGGGTATATAGTTGAAAAGCCAATGAACATGAGTTCAGTTATATATTTTTTCCTGTCCCTTACTGATGGTGTGACCTTGGGCAAGTTACTTAACCTCTTTATGTGTCAACTTTCTCACTTACAAAATGGAGATAACACTACACAGGGTTATGGTAAGGAATAAGTTAGATAATGTAGGTAAAGTATGTATGTAAAATACTAAATGCTCAATAAATATTAGCAGTTGTGTTATTGTTCTTAGTCATTCAGTTATTCATTCAACAATTATTTATTCACTATATGTCCAGCACTGTGTTAGGGACCATGGAAGATAGGAAGTACAAAATATGAGCCTTGTTCTTGAGGTGCTTAGAATTACTTGAAGAGATAAAACTAGCATAACATTGTACAATTACAGAATAATACAATGAAATGTAAATGATATAAAAAGATAAAATAAATTACAGTATTTAGGGGAAGGCTTTAACTCAGCCCCAGTGTGCTGGCTTGTTGACTAGCAGAAAAAAAAATATGTGGAGAAAAAAATCTCTCAAATTGCTCATACTAAGCCTTCATAGGTCTAGTTTTGATGCTGCCTGCCAGATGTAAATTGATGCAGAGGGGAAAAAAATTCTGTTTTTACTTCTAAAAATTAAGGCAGAATGGGGCAATGTGTTTGAGAGGTGAACATATGTGAATAAAGATGATATAACCCATAATTGGTTCTTGATAATTAACATTAAAATGTTTTCATTGGCAAAAAAACAGATATATTTTTCACTTAATGAATCAAGCCATACAAGTAATTTATTTTCACCTTGTTAAACCAGAAATCAAACACTGGATAAAGGCTGCAAATGTATTTTGATGTATATTGTACTTTTCTCTTTACAGGGTCGCTATGGCAACTGCATCTTCTCAAGTTCTGATTCCAGACATCAATTTTAATGATGCCTTTGAAAACTTTGCTTTAGATTTTTCTAGAGAAAAGAAATTGCTGGAGGGGCTAGATTATTTAACAGGTGTGAAAATACTGTGTATCTTTTCTTGTTTTAATTATTTTCTTTTGTTGTGTTTATACTTTGAAATAATGTGAAAAGGCCAATATTTATAATTAAAATGCTTTTATAACCTATAAAATGATACATGTATCGTTTTATTTTTTAAAAGATTTTATTTATTTATTTTTAGAGAGAGCGGGGCGAGGGAGAAAGAAAGGAAGAGAAACATCAATGTGTGGTTGCCTCTTACACCAACCCCCCAGGTCACTGGGGACCTGGCCTACAACCCAGGCATGTGCCCTAGATTGGGAATCAAATCAGCAACCCTTTGATTCACAGGCTGGCACTCAGTCCACTGAGCCACACCAGCCAGGGATGATACATGTATCTATTTAGATAGAACACATTTTAGTTCATGTAACAGAAAAGAAAGATGATTTGTCAAATATTTCTGGGGGCAGAATAAGGATACCACTTATACTTAAAGGTAAAAAAACAAGAAGTTGCTGATGGATTCCTCCTTAGGAGCCTGTCAGTAATATATTGTTACTTGTTATGGGGGTAGAACTCAGTTGACACTTATGGAATATTAGAGAGTGCCCCACATAGGTACAGATACCACTCAAATGGTTTTAAGGAAACTTAAGAATTAGCAGATTGGAAAGAAAAATGTAAGAAATATCTGGCTTACAAATAGTTTTATAAAATAAAGGAATACAACCAGCCTTTTAAAAATGCTGACTACATTCAGGATTATTTGAATTATTATTTTATGAGGAAAATACACACATATAATAACTTTGTATTTGTAGTTATTTTGTTAATATATTAAAATAACTGTCATTTATTGAACATCTACTTGTGCCAGACATTGTATATTAATTTTATATCATGAGTCCTTGCAACAAATCTATGATGTAATTATCATTTCTATTTTACAGATGGGGAAGAGCATATTTTACACTTGGCTATACTGCCAAACTTATTTTGGCATAAGTTTGACATAAAAAGAAATAGGTTGAAGGTCATGTAATAAAAAAACTGTATGACCATTTTGGTCTAATATTTACATGTATTTATGCAGACAGAGTAGATAATTGGTCATTCATCTCAATAACTTAAGCTTATATCTTTGCCTAAAATATCTTTATCAATGAAGCAAAAGTGAGTTGAGGGAACTGGAGCTCTTAGCTCTTTGCTTCAGATTGTATTATGTGCAATCTAAAACTGTTTATTAAAATCTCTCCATAACATGTTGGGTTGGGCAGTGTGAGTAATGATTGTAAAATTCCAGAACAGAGAATGTACTTTCCTTACCTTTTTTTCCCCCTTTCCCTACAGCCCCAAACCCACCATCTATCCGAGAAGAACTCTGTACTGCCTCCCATGACACCATTACAGTCCACTGGATCTCAGATGATGAATTCAGCATCAGCTCCTATGAGCTTCAGTACACCATATTCACTGGCCAGGCTAACTTCATCAGTAAGTCATGGTGTAATTGGGGCCTGTGGCCAGAGATAAGGAAATGTAAGGAAGCAGTAAGCTGCTCAAGATTGGCCGGGGCGCCACGAGGCAAGTGTTTGTAAGACATGTTAGGTTGTTTAGAACAGTGTTTTATAGACAGTGTAAACTCTCCCAGGGCCTTGCAGAGGGCTTACTAAAGTGTTGCCCATCAGAAAGTTGTATATTTTCTTGCAGGGAAGTCACTGGGGCCACTCCCATTTGTTTATATAATTCTTAGCCTTTTCTCAGTTAATCTTTGTCACCTCACTCTCCCAAGTCAGAAAAGAACTCAATTCATTGCTGGGATGCTAAGTCACCATCATTGCTTTCTATACATGTTATCATCTCTCTCCTTGACTCTTCTTCCACTTCATTATCATAGTAAAATACAATAATTATGTTCAAAGACTAGTTATTTCCTTTACCATATCCATTTGTATTAGTGAATATAGTGACAAGCCTCCTGTCTCTGTCACTCTCCCCTTTATTCCTTCTCCCTTTCCTCCAAGAATTACACCAAATACAAAACTGTATCAGTGGGCCACAAAATTAAGGATGTTCAAAAAGGCATCATTTAGCTCTCACATTATGGTTTCAGCTTCTGATGAATTGGAGTAAGAACTTAACTCATTGATTGTCAAACCAGAGTGTTCGAGGTTCAAGTTCTCCTCTATGCACTGGGGAAAAATGGAAATTAAAGCAGAATTAAAGCTGCATTCAAGACTGAAACTGATTCCCACCCTAAGTTTACATCTGCATAGCTGAAACTTAGTATTTTCTTTTACCTGTGTGTTTGTGATTCTGTTTCTGACTTCACAAGCTTGCATGAGAGGAGTTGTGAAACCATCCCAATAGTCTCCTTTTCCTGAACTGTGAGAATTCTGAGCCACATAGTGGGGTGGGGAGGTGAGAGGACTTTGGGGGTCAAACTCTCAAAGACACTTGCCTTGTGCAGCTTCAACCTAAGCCATTTAGCCCAGGTAGCTGTGATCTTGGGTGTTCTTGGGTGTTTCTTCAGTTTGTGAAGTCACAAACTCCAAGGCCTTCCCAACATGCTGTTCTGCACTTGTCTCTCTTGCTGGGGAAAGTCTTAGAACCAGCAACTGTGCTGCTTCTTCCCAATATGGGGAGAACAGTGGTCTCCTGGAATTGAGAGTAAGTCAAAGAATTGGAAAAGATCTAAAGGCTGTCATCTCTATTTTCAAGTATATATAATTCTTTGTAAAGAAAAGCTTGAAGGATGTCTTAATAGGAATCAGATTACAGCATCTTCAAATTTGAAGTGACCTTCAAAGTCATTTATTCTAATCTTCTGTTCTACCAGACACCCAGTAGATGATTATCTTGTCTCTGATTGACTATTTCCAGTGATGGATCACTCACTTGTAACAAAACAGCCCATTTAATTGTTGTGCAACTGTAACTAATTGTCAGTGCTTCTTTATAAAAGGATTCATTCTTTCTCTTAGTAAATAATGACAATAATAATTTACATGTGTATAATGTTTTGCCATTTACAAATACTCCCACTTATATAATCTCATTTAGTCCTCAAGAGTTCTTACTTAGCCTTATGAAATGATATTAATTCTATTTTATAGATGAAGAAACTGAGGCTCAAGTTTAGTGAGTTGCCCAAGTTCACAAAGCTACAAACTGATGGAGTCAAGATTTGAATCCAAGCCTGTCAGACTTCAAACCTAATGCTCCTTGTATTAAACAACAGCTACCAGTTAGTCCTCGGCCTGCTCTTTTATGCCTCACTAACAACCCTGATCAATCTTTCACATGACAGTTATTCAGATAATTTTAGGTAGTTCTTATGTCCCTTGTAAATTTTCTCTTTTCCAGGCTAAACATTCTCAGTTCTTTAAATTGCTTCTCATGTTTCAGACCCTTTACCATCCTAGTATTCTTCTTATGAACACACTCCTTTGTCAAAATGCTTTATAAATGTGCTGTGAAAAAAAGTGAATACACTCCAAAAGTAGTCTGACCAGTTCAGGGAATAGCTGAATTATTTATCTTGCATATAGCTGATGTCCTACCTCTCACTCAGAACCATTTTTTTAAAAGAGTAGTCACATTGACTACTGAATATTGGCTGAGCATATGGTCAGCTGACATTCCTGTGAATTTCAAATCCCATTCTTGTTCAATTTATTGTCTAAATGGAAATACAACAACTTGAATTCATCCCTATTATATTTAATCTAGTTAGCATTGATTCCTCATTCCAGCCTGCCAATATCCATTTGAATCAAATTTCTGCCTTCTAATAGATTTACTTCTGCTCCCAGCCTGCTTTCCATGTCTTTCTTCTGACCATTGATAGAAAAGTGAAATAGGACTGGGACAATAGCAGACCCTGAAGCAAAATTTTGGATGGCGGTGGGCAGAGAAGCTGAAACTATTTTACTGAGAATAAGTATTCATGAAGGTTCAAGGTCCCAGTCCTACCTGCCAGTCTGGCCTGCCACTCTTGACTGAACCTCACTTCCAAGAGCTACTTTCCTTTGTTTTCTACATTTTCTGTCTTTTCAAACCTTTTTATTTAGGTATGATTGGCATACAAAAAGTTATCCATCAACAGATGCATGGATAAAGAAAATATGGTATATGCACACAATGGAATATTATTCAGCCTTAAAAAAGAAGGAAACTCTGCCCCTGGTGACAGCATGAATGAGCCTGGATGGCCTTATGCTAAGTGGAATAAGCCAGACACATAAGGACAGATACTATGATACAGCTTATATGGGGAATCTTAAAATAGTCATACTCCACATTTTTTTAACTAGAAATTTTATCCTTGTTGGTTAGAATTTTGTCAGGAGTAGTTCCCATTATTTTTTTCAACTTTCTTCCTTCATTTTTAACTTTATCCCTACGTCATCTAAGATATGGAATAGTCATAAGCCAGTTTTGTTTCAGACAATGTTAGCTGACTAAGAATTCCAACAGGTGTTTGGATGATTGTCTTCTCCATTATATACAGCTTTCCGTTGTTTAAATTTTGTGTTTTGTATTATGAAAGCTTTGACTACAACCTGTGTCTGGCTAGGAAGTCTGTAATATACTGCCACAAAGATGTAACTTCTATTTCCCCTCCTTTTCATTCTCATGGGAATGCTTTCCACCACACATTTACACTCAGGTTCATGGATTTCCATATTGTGATCTTTCCCCTTTTTTATTTAAATATTTTTTTCTTTTTTTAAAGATTTTATTTATTTATTTTTAGAGAAAAGGGGAGGGAGAGAGAAAGAGAGGGAGAGAAACATCAATGTGTGGTTGCCTCTTACGCACCCCCTACTAGGGACCTGGCCTGCAACCCAGGCATGTGCCCTGACCGGGAATTGAACTGGTGACCTTTTGGTTCACAGGCCCAAGCTCAAACCACTGAGCTACACCAGCCAGGGCTGATCTTTCCCTTTTGAACATGGTGTATAATTCCATTACCATAATTCAATCGTAAACCCTATCTCACCAAGACTCAGTCATACCTAGAGGATCACATATTTACCTTTATTAAATTTAGAAATGATTGCAAAATTACAGAAAAGTTGCAAGACTAGTGCAAAGAATTCCCAAATACTATTTATCTGGATTCACCCATTGTTACTATTTTTCCCCATTTTCTTTATCATTTTCTGGATTTCTCTATGCTCCTCTTTTTTTCTTGACTATTTGAAAGTAAATTGCATACATCATGGCCTTTGGCTCCTAAATTCTTCATCATTTCCTAAGATAAGGAAATTCTCTTAAATAATTACAATATAGTTATCAACTTCAAGAGATTTAACACTGGTGCAATACTTTTATCTAACCCACCATTAATATTCAAGTCTTAACAGTTGGCCCAATAATATCTTTTATAACCTATAAAGGACCCAATATTGTCTTTTATTGTCTAGGATTACGTATTACACTTAAATTTCATCCTTTGAACATCACATCTGGAGGCACATGATGTCCATTTATCCTTCATTGGTGATGCTAACTTTGATCTCCTGGTCAAAGGTGCTGACTGATTTGTTCACTGTGTACTGTTTTCCTTTTGCAAATAATAAGAAATCTCTATGTGATGCTTTAAGACCATGAAAATATCTTGCTTCCTCATCAGACCTGTTCCACTCTCACTCCTGTTTTAACATCAATAATTCTTGCCTGATTGATCTTTACTCTGATGATTGCAAAATGATGATTTTCCAACTGAGCATCCCCTCCCACATTTGCAAACTGGCACTCTGCATTCTACTGTAAGCAAAAGCCCCACCCTCCATTTGTTTATTTAATAATCTGCATATTTGTATGGACTCCTGGATTCTTTTTTGAATGGTTGATAATTCTTTACTGTCCTTACTTATTTTAGTACTCCAATTGCTTAGATTTAGCCAATGAAAGCCTTTTAAACTGACTCCTGGGTCCTTATATTGTCCCATCATTTTCTTGAGCACTTCCTTACTTTCCAGCATAGCAAGAGGTTCTAGGCTCATTTTGAACTTATCCTTCCCAGTTTTTAATAAACTGTTTTCCTAACAAATCCTGGTTTCTTTTAGGGAGAGAATGGTATTAGAGGCCAAGACCTGGACAACTAGAAATACATACATCCACCCATGTATGTATACATATACACACATAATACAGGGTGGGCAAAAGCAGGTTTATAGTTATTCATATGGAAAATAGTATAATAATTAATAAATAATAATACATGATTAAACTGTTTCATGTACTCACAATTGCAAACCTACTTTGCCCACCCCTGTATATACACATATACTTAACATATGTGCACATATGTATACACATGCATACATACACACATATTTATTTATTTATTTAGATAATATGATTTTCTGTCAGTACCTCCAATTCCAGTCCATCCTCATAGGTTCTTTCTTGCCTTTACCCATTCCATATTTATATGTTCCTACTTCAACAATGAGAACCCTGGCTCCCAACATTAATGCATGTACTCATTTGCTCACTCCCATAATATATCAACAATAGTTTCAGATTTTGCTTTGCCCATACCACTACAAAAACAAACAATAGTTCAACACTTGTTTGCAATTCTCCTCCTGCCCCCATCCCTTTGGTGTGGATATTTTTCATTTGAAATGCAGTTGGGTTCATTTGTTTCAGTTTGCCTACAGTTTTAGTCCTCACTTTTCCCAGTCATATTGATTTCATTTTAATATTCAAATTTATATGTTTCCAAAAGGAAAAACTGTACAAAAATGTATACTCAGAGAAATGTCATTCTCTCTTATATCTTTTAAATCCTATTCCCCTATCCCCATTCATTGTAGATAACCAATTTCATTATTTTCTGGCTTTTCCTTCCTGTTGTTATTGTTGTTTTTATAGCTCCAGGCATATGTATGTATGCTTTCTTATTTGTCTTTCTTTCTTGAAAAAAGTTAGTATATTATATATAAGCTCTTACAAAATTTGCTTTACTCAGTTAACAGTATACCCTGGAAATTATTGTATTGTTCACAGAGGTCATCCTCATACTTTTTTACAGCTGCATAATACTTCATTGTGAAGTCTGTTTTGTTTCGTAGTTTTAGAAGTGTGTCTGAAAGATCATATATTTCCCTCTTTGTATTAAAGTTCCATATGCAGTTTATGGTTAATACTGTGCATTGATACATAGACAGCCAAACCCTCAAACATCGTCCCTGGTTCTTATCCTTTATTGTCTTTTTCTAAGAATCATTGAGCATTTCCACCAATTATTCTTCTTCGTATAGCATATCTGTGTGCCCTCCATTGTCCTTCTTTTTCTACTTTTAATTCAGAATTTTTATACTTTCCCCTCAAACTAATTATAAACCCTTCCAATCAGATTGCTTTCAAAAATTAATTTGTTTTTATTTTCAGCCTCACTTAAACTCTTTACTATAGCTGCATAGAAGTGACTAAATTCACTACTCATTTTCATTGCCCTTTCCTTTCCACCCTCTGATAGAATTGTGTTTAAAAGGCAGTAAACTGACTGAAAACAAGATAACAGAAGAGAGAAGAAACATAGGTAATCCACAGATACCTATATACATGTACATGTATATCTAAATACATGTTTTTAATTATGTACGTTTTTCTCTGTTTAAGTCAATGTTTATGGTCTAAAGAGTTTCAAAAGCAGAAACATAGATCTCTGATCCTTTTCCCTACTTGGGATGAAAAAAGATTCCAGACAATAGTGTGTTTCTGGGCCATCTAACCTCAAATAGCTATTGGAATCAGAACCAGGAACTGATAAAACTGTAGTGTCAAGTGAAGAAATGATATTTTGCTTTGGTTATTGTGTTATCTCCTTGGCTTCCATATGATACCTTGGAGCCCAACTAGTCTTGGAAGTAAGAGTGAGGATGAGGTGAAAGAGTTGAGTCATAAGCCCTGAAAGAGTTGTTAATTTAGAGAGTCAGCAAAACATTGTTGTTCACCTTGTGACTTGTGATGTAGTGGAGAGAACACCAGACTAGGATTAAAATGAATGGGGTTTTACTCTCAGCACCACCACCAGCTATCTGTGGCCTTGGGCAAGTCACTTTTCTTCTCTCCATTTGTTTCCCATTTGTGAAATGAGGGAAATATATGTCTAGGTGTCTTTTCGAATATGAGATTCAATATTCCTATGCTATGCACAGGACTGCTCTATCCATATGAGGCCAAACTCAGCCTCAGATTGGATCTTTGTGGAAAAAATCTAGACTCCATAAAAGAGGTGATTCTGTAATTTTGTAGAGTAGTTTTTCCTATATTGTTTGGAAGAAAATTGAATTAACCTAACTTTTGCTAGTGGTTGCGTTCGATTATCAGAAGCAAGTTACCGGGCATGAACCTAGCTCTATGGGAGGAAGGAAGTAGAGGAGGTTCATATCACTATGTCTTCCAGGAGTCATAAGAAAACAAAATAAAATTCACTTTTGAGGGGCTTACAATGAATTTTCAGTGTATTTTTCATTCTATTTCTATTACCTGCTAGCTAATGTCCTTGTCTTTCCACATGTTACAGGCCTGTATAATTCGGTGGATAGCTGGATGATTGTGCCCAACATTAAGCAGAACCATTACACAGTGCATGGACTCCAGAGTGGGACACGCTACATCTTCATTGTTAAAGCCATAAATCAAGCAGGCAGCCGGAACAGTGAACCTACCCGACTAAAAACAAACAGTATGTTACAGTGATTCTGAAAGGAGCCATCAGAATCCCCTTTGTGCTAGGGAATACAGTTAGCCTGAGCAGACATCCACAGCTGTGCAGGAGAGCACAGGCCCAGGATAGAGGAGCTTTACTGTTGTAGTTTGTGCTTTGGTCAAGGGGTTTGTTCAAGGCCTTGGAATATATGTGGACACAGATATACATAAAACACCTGGTGGCTTGGGAAGATGTTAGTGAAGAGTATTTCACTGCACCCCACCCTCATGCTTGTGGGACAGTTGCATAAAAGAATACTACAAACATGCACCACTTAACAATGGGGAAACATTCTGAGAAATGAATCATTAGGTAATTTCATTGTTGTGTGAACATCATTGAGTATACTTACACAAACCCAGATGATATAGCCTATTCCACACCTAGGCTATATGGTATACCATTGTCCTATATGTGTTTCATCATTGAATGAAATGTTGATATGTGGAACATGACTATATTTGTGAATAATCTGCTAAAATCCTACAGCAGAGAAGCCATACCTGTTAGAAATGCTTTTGACTTCAAATGACAAAAAAATTCAACTTAGCTTAACAAATAGTTATTTGTTAGTAGCTTTAATGATGTATTTTTTCTCTTTCTAACATAGCAAGGGGTTTGAAGGTAGAGCTGTTGTAGCAGTTCTGTGATGTCATAAAAGATCCATGCTTTTTCCCCTTTTCTATGTTGGCTTTTTGCCACATGGCCACAGTATGGCCACTGCAAACTCTAGATGTCATATTTTCTTTCAAGGTAGGAAGAAGGGAGAAAGGGATGGTATACATGATGAGTATTCCTTTCATCAAGAAAACATGCATTTTTCCCAGAAGATTCTCCCACCCCGTCTGACTTCTGCTTCCAACTACTTCCATTTACTAGCCACCTGTAGCAGCAAGGGAGGCTAGGTCTGGAATATTTAGCTTTTCCAGCCTCTATAGTGAAAGTGGGTAAGAGAGAGAAAGTAGGGAATGGATGTTGTGTTCACCAACAATGGCTGGCACACATGAATTTTGTATAATACAGCCCTTGCAATACAGAGCAATTGGTTCTTAGTAACTTGATTTTGTCATATGACGATAAGGAATTCTCTGTTGTGAATGATCCTGTCCAGTAAATATTTTCCCTGACTATTGATGATATAATAGTCACTCTAATGAAGTTCCCTAATTATATTTTTTACATCCCAGTTGTAAGAGGGGAAAAAATTGTCCTGTTGCTGAGTTATTTTTGGCTTTTTGTTGTCACCCAGCAGCAATTATTTCATCTATTTCTTCACTTTGCTTAGCTCAAACACATCTTCCCCTAAAATCTACCCAAATACCAATCCATCCAGTTAAATAAAAGCTAAGTAAAGAACACAATGAGACCCTAAGAATTCCCTTTCAATTTCATAATATATGAAGGGGGCAGCATATTATTATTTTATTGAAAATGGTGGCTTCTGGCCTGCTTCCTTAATATAATCAAACATCAGCCAACTTGTACTGACCCAAGAATAATCATCATATTGGGGCTTCTCTGGTAGTGATGTTCCAGGAAGACAAAGAATTCTTAAATACATCCTCATGCATTTTCTCCTTTATACTTTTTTCAGGCCAACCCTTTAAACTGGATCCCAAAATGACTCACAAGAAGTTGAAGATCTCAAATGATGGATTGCAGATGGAGAAAGATGAAAGCTCTCTGAAAAAAAGCCATACCCCAGAGAGATTTAGTGGCACTGGGTGCTATGGGGCAGCAGGAAATATATTCATTGACAGTGGTTGTCACTACTGGGAGGTGGTCATGGGTTCCTCAACATGGTGAGTGGGTCTCACTTTTCATTTCACTTCTCTCCCCTGTTGCTAGGTTCCAGGGAGATCCATTTCTATACCACAAATATAATACCAATAAGTCAAGGTTAAAAGATGTGATGAAAACCACTCCTAGAAAAATGTGACAGCCTTTAAAAATAAAATCATGAAATATATACTGAGCTAGGAGTTGGAAATTACTACATCACCGTAATTGCTAACTTTTTCCCCATTGTTTAATTATTACTTACTTACAGCTGTCTCCATTCTTCCCTCAATAGCTCTCCCCTGCCACCATAAATCCCCCATTCCCAGAGATAATCACCACCACATTGTCCCTGTCCATGGGTCCTTTTGTACATGTTCCTTACTTGACCCATCCCCCTCTTTCCCTCATTATCCCCTCCTTACTCCCTCTGGTCACTGTCAGTTTGTTCTTTATTTCCCTGTCTCTGGTTCTTTTCTGCTTTTTTGTTTGTTTTGTTGATTAGGTTCCACTTATAGATAAGATCATATGGTATTTGTCTCTCACTGCCTGGCTTATTTCACTCAGCATAATGCTCTCTAATTCCCCCCTGCTGCCACAAAGGGTAGGAACTCCTTCTTTCTTTCTGTTGCATAGCATTCCATTGTGTAAATATACCACAGTATTTTTTTGAAATTGTTAATTTTATTTTAACTAAATATTTATTGATTTTTTAAATTATAGTTGACATTCGATGTTATTTTCATTTTTCACATTTTTTATTGATGTTGAAGTACAGTTTCCATTTTCACCCCATGACTGCCCCCCACCCCAGCCATTCCCACTTCCCACCCTTGATCCCACCCCTCTTTGGTTAGGTCCATGTGTCCTTTATACATGTTCCTGACAACACTTCCTCTTTTTCCCTCCACTATCCCCTCCAACCTCCCCTCTGGTCATTGTCAGTTTATTCTCAATTTAAATGTCTCTGGTTATATTTTGCTTGCTTTTTTGTTTTGTTGATCAGGTTCCACTTAAAGGTGAGATCATATGGTATTTGTCTTTCACTGCCTGGCTTACTTCACTTAGCATAATGCTCTACAGATGCATCCATGCTGTTGCAAAAAGCAGGAGCTCCTTCTTTCTTTCTGCTATGTAGTATTCCATCACATAAATGTACCATAGTTTTTTCATCCATTCATTTACTGATGGGCACCTAGGTGGCTTCCAGCATTTTGCTATTGTAAATTGTGCTGCTATGAACATTGGGGTGCATAGGTTCTGTTGGATTGGTGTTTCAGGGTTATTAGGGTATAATTCCAGCAGTGGAATTGCTGGGACAAAAAGCGGTTCTATTTTTAGTTTTCTGAGGAAATTCCATGCTATTTTCCACAGTGGATCCACCAGCCTGCATTCCACCAAAAATGCACTAGGATTCCCTTTTATCCACATCCTCTCCAACACTTGTTGTTTGTTGATTTGTTTGTGATGGCCATTCTCACTGGTGTGAAGTGGTATCTCATTGTGATTTTAATTGGAATTTCTCTGATAGCTAGCAATATTGAGCATCTTTTTTTTAATTTTAATTGTTCTTCAAGTACAGTTTTCTGCCTTTTACCCTCATCCCAGCTCACCTCCCCAGTCCTCCCCAACTCCCTCCCATTTCCTCCCCCGCTTGTTATTATCCACCTGTCCTTTATACTTGTTCCTGCAAACCCTTCCCCTTTTCCCCTGAAATTCCCTCCCCTCTCACCTTTAGTCACTGACAGCCTGTTCTCTATTTCAGTGTCTTTGGTTATATTTTGCTTATTTGTTTGTTTTGTTGATTAGGTTCCTGTTAAAGGTGAGATCATATGGTATTTTTCTTTCACTGTCTGGCTTATTTTGCTTAGCATAATGCTTTCCAGTTCCATCTATGCTGTTGCAAAGGAAAGGAGCTCCTTCTTTCTTTCTGCTGCATAGAGTTCCATTGTGTAAATGTACCATAGTTTTTTGATCCATTCATTTACTGAAGGGCACCTAGGTTGCTTCCAACACTTGGCTATTGTAAACTGTGCTGCTAAGAACATTGGGGTGCATAGGTTCTTTTGGATTGGTCTTTCAGGGTTCTTAGGATATAATCCTAGTAGTGGAATTGCTGGGTCAAAAGGCAGATCCATTTTTAGTTTCCTGAAAAAATTCCATACTGTTTTCCATGGTGGTTGTACCAGTCTGCAATCCCAGCAACAGTGCACTAGGGTCCCCTTTTCTCCACAACCTCTCCAACACTTGTTTGTTGCTTTGTTTATGATGGCCATTCTCACTGGTGTGAGGTGGTGTTTCATTGTGATTTTAATTTGCATCTCTCTAATAGCTAGCAATACTGAGCATCTTGTCATGTGTCTCTGCATCCTCTCTACGTCCTCCTTGGAGAAGTGTCTGTTCAAGTCCTTTGCCCATTTTTTAATTGAATTGCTTGTCTTTTTAGAGAGGAGTCATATGAGTACTTTATATATTGTGGAGATTAAACCCTTGTCTGAGGTATCATTGGCAAATATGTTTTCCCATGCAGTTGGTACTCTTTTTATTTTAATACTGTTTTCTTTAGCCATGCAGAAGTATTTCATTTTGATAACATCCCATTTGTTTATTCTTTCCTTTATGTCCCTTGCTCTAAGGGACATATCAGTGAAAATACTGCTGCATGAAATATCTGAAATTTTCCTGCCTATGTTCTCCTCTAGGACTTTAATGGTATCAAAACTTATATTTAAATATTTTATCCAGCCCTGGCTGTCATAGTTCAGTGGATTGAGCGTGCGCTGCAAACGAAAATATTGCAGGTTCGATTCCCAGTCAGGGCACATGCCTGGGTTGCAGGCCATGGCCCCCAGCAACCACACATTGATGTTTCTCTCTCTCTCTTTCTCCCTCCCTTCCCTCTCTAAAATAAATAAATAAAATCTTTTTAAAAAATCTTTTATCAACCTTGAATTTATTTTTATGTATGGTGTAAGTTGGTGCTCAAGTTTCATGTTTTTGCATATAGCTGCCCAGCTCTCCCACCATTTGTTGAAGAGGCTATTTATACTCCAGTTTATGTTGCTGCCCCCTTTGTCACATGTTAATTGACCATAGAGACTTGGGTTCATTTCTGGGCTCTCTGTTCTGTTCCACTGGCCTATCTGTCTGTTTTTATGCCAGTACCAGGCTGTTTTGATTACAATGTCCTTGTAATACAGTTTGATATCAGGTATTGTGAGCCTTCCTACTTTGCTTTTTTTTTTTTTCTCAAAATTGCTGCCACTATTTGGGGTCATTTATGGTGCCATAGAAATTTTTGAAGTGTTTGTTCTGTATCTGTAAAATATGCCATTGGTACTTTAATAGGTATTGAATTGAATCTATTAATTGCTTTGAGTAGTATGGACATTTTGATGATATGAATTCTTCTCATCCATGAATACGGTATATGCTTCCATTTGTTTGTGTCTCCCTTCATTTCTTTCTTCAGTGTTGTGTAGTTTTCTGAGTACAGGTCTTTTACCTTCTTGGTTAGGTTTATTCCTAGGTATTTTATTTTTCTTGTTGCTATACCAAATGGAATTTTTTCCTGATTTTTGCTTCTGATGTTTCATTGTTGGTATACAAAAATGCCTTTCTGAATATTGACTTTGTATTTTGCTTTTTTGCCAAATTCATCTATTAGGTGGAACAGTTTTTTGGTGGAGTCTATAGGATTTTCTATGTCCATTATCATGTCCTCTGCAAACAATGACAGTTTTGTTTCCTCTTTTCCAATTTGGATGCCTTTTTTTTTCATTTTCTTATCTGACTGCTGTGCCTAGGACTTCCAATACTGTGTTGAACAGAAGTGTTGAAAGTGGACAACCTTGTCTTGTTCCTGATCTTTGTGGGAAAGATTTTAGATTTTGGCCATTGTGTATGATGTTGGCTGTGGGTCTCTTATATCTGGCCTTTATTATGTTGAGGAATCCTCCCTCTATTCCCACTCCGCTGAATGTTTTTTTATCATAAATGGGTGCTGTATATTATCAATGCTTTTCCTGCATCTATTGATATGATCATATGATTTTTGCCTTTGCTTTTGTTTCTGTGATGTATTATGTTTATTGATTTTCTAAATCGTACCATCCTTGCATCCGTGGGCTGAATCCCACTTGGTCATGATGTATGATATTTTTAATGTATTGCTGGATTTGGTTTTTCAATATTTTGTTGAGGATTTTAGCATATATGTTCATCAGCAATGTTGGTGTGAAGTTTTTTTTTCTTTGTTATGTTGGGTTCCTCTTGATTGGGACCCTCTGTGCTTCCTGAACTTGCATGACTTTTTTTCTCATCAAGTTAAGGAAATTTGCTGTTGTTACTTTTTCAAACAGGTTTTGTATTGTTTGCTTTTTTCTTCTCCTTCTGGTATCCTTATCATATGGATATTATTACATTTAATGTTGTCCTGCAGCTCCCTTAACTCCTCTCCATTCTTTCTCAGTCTTTTTTCATTTTGCTGCTCTGTCTGGGAATTTTTTTTCTACCTTGTTCTCCAGCTTGCTGATTCAATCCTGTGCTTCACCTAACCTGCTTTTAATACCTTTTACCGTGTACTTCATTTCAGATATTTTATTTTTTATTTCCTCCCTTTATTGATAGTTTCTATGTCCTTTTTCATGCTGGTGTCATTCACTGGAGGTTCCCTGGAGTTCTTTGAAGTTCTCACTGAGCTCCTTGAGCATTCGACTCTTGTGTTTTTTTCTACTTGTTGCATTTACCTGCTTTGACACCCTACTTTGTGGTGTGATCTTCTGTGCTAGGAGACCTGTGGAACTCAGTGGTGCAGTCTCCTTGATCACCTGCACTTGATACTCTTTCCCTGCTCTTTATGCCTTTTATGTGGTTATAATTGGGTTTAGGTTATTGTTTGTTGTTCTTTGGTGGGGTCTTACTGAGAGTCACTCCTCCCTCCATGTCTCGTATGCTGTTGTAGAGGTGCTGCCAGAACAAAAAGCAAACAGCACAGAAATGAGACCTATACCTGCAAAGGTATCGTCCACCCACAATTACACTATAAACAGCCAATGCATCAAGATTAATAAAGGTGTAAAGAGATTTAGATATTATAAGAGTGAAAAAATGAATATGAGATGGCTAACGGAAAGAAAAGTTATTTCACAAGTGTAGAAAGAGGAGCAATAATAAGAGTAGTGAATAGAGACAAGGCTAAGTGGGAAAGAAAATAAAGTTTACTTTGTAACAAAAAAGGGTGGAGGGAAAGTGGAATGGAATAAGAGGAGAAGCATGTAGTATTATGTTAAAACTGAAATTTAAAGAAAACATATATATATATATATATATGTATATATCTTGTGAGAGAAAAAACAGACAACCATAACAACAACAATAACAATATATATAAGAAATATATATGTTATATATAAAATAATATGTCTCTAATTGCAGAAAAATCTCCACCACAGAGATATCAACAATCAATGAGCTAATATTTATACAGGTGGAATGGGAATAATGGGGCACAAGGAAAGAAAAAAGAGCTTAAGGGATGTCTAGAGCAAAGAGAAGTTAGTTTGAGAGGTTAGAGAGAGAAGGAATACTAAGAATGTGGGATGAAAATCCAGCTAAGATGGAGAAAAATTAACATTTAAAACAAAAAATGGAAAGGCAGGAGGAAGGCAAAATGGTATGGAAGATGGGAACAGTGAAATTTGAAGTTTGAAATACAAAGATAGTCACTATCTAAAATAAGACTGAAGAACTATAACAACCACCACCTTATCCACAACCTGCGAGCAAAGATTGATAAAGATGGAGAGAGAATAGGGTATTTTAAGAATGGAAGAAGGAATGTGAGATGATTAATGACATTCACAAATGGTTCCGAGAGGCTGGAAGGGGGAAAAATAGTAATAGTTTGGATTAGAAACAAGTTGTAGCAAGAGAGAAAATAGAATTTACAACAAATATACAAAAGGAGGAAGAAGGAATTATTATGGAGTAAAAGAAGAGCAGAACAATATATGAGATTTGAAGTAAACTATACTATAAAACTTGGTGCCATATTATGCCCAAACTTGAAGGATATGAAATTAATGTCAAATCTCTATAAAGGAGAGAAGATAGAACCTTGTTGTGCCTGTCTCTGTTTTTTCTGCTCTGCTGGGTTTAGTATGTTGAGGTCCAAGGATCAGTGTAGCACATAGTGTCTTGTGTAGGGCCTTTTTCTTCTTTCCTCTGAGGAAATGTACACAGCAGCAAGAAATTCCTGGTCCTCACCTCACCACTCCGCAGGGCCTATAATCCATGCAGATAGGGGTTGGGTTCGCCTGTCTGTGAAAGCCTGTGGTTGACTGGAGCAAATCTCAGGCATTCAGTTCCTGCCTTTCAGAACTAAGCCTGCTGCTCTCTTGTAGGAGATTTGGCCTAAATTCACAACTCTGCTTTGCCCTCTGCTTGCAAGCCATGTTGGGTAAGGTCTTCTCTTTCCTTCAGTGTATGCTCTGACTTTAGTTAGCAAGGCTGCTGCATCCTGCCCACGCACACAGGCCTGAATACCTGGGTCCTGCCCAAGCCTTGGATCTCACCTCAGCTCCCCCTTTTAAAAGAGTTTCTCTCTGGCCCGCATACTATAGCATGAATCCCTGGGGGTCCTGTTCCCCACATACTCCCTCTCCCCCAAAAATAACAGTCTCTCATGGTCAGGGCTAGCCAGCTCCTTACAGGGCCTCCAACAATTTTAATTAAAAAAAATATTTTATTTATTTATTTTTAGAGAGGGGAAGAGAGGGAGAGAAACATCAATCTGTGGTTGCCTCTTGTACACCCCCTACTGGGGACCAGGCCTGCAAACCAGGCATGTGCCCTGACTGGGAATTGAACCAGCAACCCTTTGGTTTGCAAGCCCATGCTCAATCCACTGAGCTACACCAGCCAGGGTGGGCCTACAACAATTTTAGATAAAGTTTCTCTCTGAATCTTTCCCGGATGGTGTTGGGAAGATCCCCTCAGCTATACAGTAATACAAGGCGGTGACAGCATGCTGTCCCTGCTCCCTCTGGAGGTCTTTACCCTTGAGTCTGCCTATTCCTGCCGTGCTGTTTCTGGAATCCGCACCTCCCAGGCCTTCTCTCGCTGCCCTGGTAGCTCGTGGGTCCTGAGCAAATCTACAACCACCTCAACTCTATGCAACCAGCAGTGCTGGGTTGGGCAGCAGTGGTGGTCCATCTAGAAATCCCAGGTGGTTGGCTCCCAGGTACCCCACAGGCGGCCGGTTCCTATGTCACCCTGCTTACTCCCCATGCTCTCCTCTGCATATGCTCCCATTCACAGACTCTTACTCACTCTCCACTCTGTGTTCTGACTTCAAATCCTGTTCGTGTCTGAGAGCAGATGAATGGAGCTGCCAGCTACTCTGCTGCCATCTTGGAACCCTAATAGCTAACTTTTTAAAACTCTAGTAGTATCAACATTATGGATATAAATTTAAACTGTTTAAGGAAGAAATGTATTCTATTTCGTATATAGTCTGTATAGTATTTAGTATAACTCAGATCATTAATAAATGTTTATTTCTCTCTCCTTTCCACTGTCTCACAGGTATGCAATTGGTATTGCTTACAAATCAGCTCCCAAGAATGAATGGATTGGCAAGAATGCCTCTTCATGGGTTTTTTCTAGATGCAATAGTAACTTCATAGTTAGACATAACAACAAAGAAATGCTGGTGGATGTACCCCCACAGTTGAAGCGTCTGGGTGTCCTTCTGGATTATGACAACAACATGCTGTCTTTCTATGACCCAGCTAACTCTCTTCATCTTCATACTTTTGATGTGACCTTTATTCTTCCAGTTTGTCCAACATTCACAATCTGGAACAAATCCCTAATGATCCTGTCTGGCTTGCCTGCCCCAGATTTTATTGATTATGCTGAACGGCAAGAATGCAACTGCAGGCCACAAGAATCTCCTTATGTTTCTGGGATGAAAGCTTGCCATTAAGTTTCAAGTGAACATAGAATTCATTGGCTCTCCAGTTCAGCAGTTCTTCCCCTCCTAAACTTCAGTTAGTGTCTAATACACAAGATACAAAATAAAGTTCATTTGAAGCATCTAAAATAACTAGATATTATAGATGTAATTTTTGTGCATTAAAGCTTACATTTCTATTAATGTTTTGAGTTTCTCAGGATAAATTATCTGAGTAGTCTGTGTTCAAGCCATTGGAGAAAAAATATAGAGAATGCCTCTTTTGTCATTGGAGAATTAAAAATTTCCAGTGATTTAGAAATATAAATTATATTGAAATGAATTAAGATAATTCTAGATAAAAATGTAGAATGATACTCTAAACAAGGAGCTAGCTAGCCAGAAAGGGGGGTGTCAGCTTTTTTACTGGCCAATTTGGCCCACTAGAATTTTGAACTGTTAAATGATTGCATATAATAATAATTGCTTATAATAAAATCTACAGTCAAGGATAGAGAAAACATGTATATAAAATATATTAAATGAATATATTTATAAATATAAATATATAAATATAAATATATTCATTTTAGAACATATATACATAATAAACTTTATAATTTGTTCATTTGGTTGAGAAATATACTGGAAGGGAAAAAAATTATACTGTTCATTTTTGTCCCCTATAAGGAACATAAAATCAGTCAACATTACTCATCTCCCTACATTCATCCCCTTTTTTTCCCTTCTGTCACACACACATATACATGCAGTAATGACATAGATGGTAGGAAGAGCTCTAGATTGGATTAGGAGAGACTGAGGGACAACACTGCATAGGAGATATTATTGCTGGATAGAAAATTGATCCAGGTAGAAGTGTTACATATAAGAGTTTCATCAATACTACCTAATAGAGGCAGTTCCTCTGAATTGTTAAAAATTCTGAGACAGAATATTTCAAAACAGTGTGTTTTTATTGTGGAGTATATACAGTTACTAAAATTATGCTAAAAAATAGATGTTCTTTAAGAATATGCTTTATTTACATAATCAGAGTGGAGTGTTATAAATACAACTATTTGCACATAAATGTACTTGAATTTTCTTAACAATGCCTGAGAACAGTTTGTCTTTTTTCTTCATTTTTTTATTTTTATTTTTTTAAATTGTTGTTCAAGTACAGTTTTCTGCCTTTTACCCCCATCCCAGCCCCCCCCCCCAAGTTTGTCTTCTTAAACAGGTTAAATAGTTATTCCTTTTACAATTTTGTTTATACTCTTTATCTGCTTAACCAACCCTCCATTGCAAATGCAGTTATAAACTTTATCCCAGTCCTTATCACTATCATCAAAGGGAATAAAGCTTTATGGTTTGTACTTTTGTCAATTCCACTGCAAGGATTAGAGATGTCAGAACCAGAGCTTTTTCCTTTCTAGGAGCTGAGTCTGCTTCAAGGAGTCTACTTTTGGAGATTTGTGAAAACATTACTGTTGTACAAAGTGGTAACTGTAACAAGCCCCCAGATTGGAGCATTGAAACAAAGCCAAAACTCTTGTCTTTCTTTCCATTACCTTGGTGGATGTTGATTCATCAATTCATCCAACAAACTACTAGATGCCAGGTACTATACTGCTGCTGAAATACTGATAAAACCCAGTTTCTGTTGTCAAATGACTTACTATTTTGTAGGAGAGACAAACTATGTATATAAATCCTCTAAATAACACTTTTGTATTGTTTGTTCACATAACATGGAAAGCAAGGTGAAGACAGATACAAATAGCAGGCTCAAACTTACATATCTAGTGACATAGTGAGCCTTTTGGTTTAAAAAAAACCCATATGTACTTGCTGCTAAATCAGAAAATGAGCAACCTCAATAAGATTCTGCAGTGCTGGGAAATAGCTCTCTGTAATGGAGAACTCATTGCCTTTGGACAAAAATAAATGTAGTTCCCCTGCTGTTTACTAGTGATATGACCTAGGGCAAGTTCTTCATTTCTCTGAAACTATTTCCTCTTTTATACAATACCTACCTAGCAAGGCTGTTGAAAAGATTTAAAAAGATAGCCCATGTAAACTGCTAAGCATGGCACCTGACATTTAGTTAAGTGTATAATGAATATTAAGCTCCTCCCCCCTACCTCTCCCAACCCGTGCCCCAGTAGAGTGTAGGGGTGTTTTAAAATGTATGCCTTTCATTTCAAAGTTACTCTGGTCTCTCCTTTATTGCCTATCCTCAAATTCTTAAACAAAACAAATTATTTTTCCCCCTTCATAAAACCTTTCACTGCCCCCTATACCCCATAACATTCAGTAGAAGGTCCCAGTTACTTAGGATGTGGCTTTTCAGGTCTGTGTGTTGTTCCAGCTTCATCTTTGATGTCACTTTCTCCCTCACACTGGCTACCCTAGCCAAGCTCAACTATTTACACAAGTTGGTCTCTGGGCCTAGAACAGAGACATAATGATTTTGATACCTACAGGAAATAAACAGTAGTAATTTTTCTCAAGGGAATAGAATAAAAATGCTAAAAGTGCAAAAAATGTTTCACTTCCACCTCAGTCCAATTTCCTTTACCTTGTCCTTGGGTCTCCATGCCATTCTCTTTGTGTGTGCCCTTTGGATTTTAGTGCCTTGAGATAAAGTTTCAACTTCCTCACCCTACTTTTGAGCCTAGCCTGTACTACCTTTCCCCATCCTCACCCTTCTTAATCAAATTAATTTCTGACCCTCTAGACTGGGTTATGTTCTCTTCGGAGCTCCCATGGCACACTCAGCATCCCTACCCTGCATGCCTCAGTAATAGTCATATTGGATAGCAATGTTTTTCCGAGTGTGGTCCTCAGGCCACCTGTTAGAATCAATTTTGCCATTTGTTAAGATAATTGATTCTGAGACCCCACCCATGATCTACTTAGAATATTTAGACACACAGGTGAAATTTTACATTTTAAACAAATTTTACATTTTAACAAGCTCTTCAGGTAATTCTGATGCACACAAATATTTAATGTATAATAATCATCTTCCCTACTAGATTATGAATACTTTGAGGGTGGGGGCTGTGTCTTTGTTTTTATTGTTGTATTTTTAACACCTGACATAGTGTGTGGAACAGAGCAGTTGCCTGGATAATGTTTATTAAACAAATGCATGAATGAATGAGTGAGTGAATAATCAAAGTTACTGGTGTTTGTTGTTTCCTGGGCAGAAGAGCTTGGTTCTATCTCCATTTGGGTTATACTGATATTATTTTGCAGATTTCCCAAGACTCATATACATAAATGAGCATTGTCCTCCTCAAAAGCTCTTTGGAAGTTGACTTGGGGAATTGTCTGGAGCATGTGGCACCATTCTTTTCAATCACTTTTCCAGCTTTGTTCTTTGAAGGTAGATTTAAGTTTCAGTTATAGTCAAAAATCACTCAGAGCTAAGCCTACTGAATAAAGTATGAAATGAAACTGGGTTTGAGGTAAGCAATGAAGTTTCTAGGTCAAATAATGAAATGAAAATTACTTTCCAAGACACAACATGGTAACAAAGTATTGAGTGGGAGTGTGGTGTGCCCCAGATACTTACTTTCAGTAAACTTAAGACTTTCATAGGATATTGGCAATGCCAGGAACCTTAAGAGAAATCATTGAGTACCTTCAACTGAACCCAGTTGAAGAAAAGGAAATAGGACCTGTATTTAAATTAACACCTTCAAGGAAGGTAACTCCATAAGTTCTTGTTGTTGTTGCTGTACTCAATCTATTCTACCACAATCCTTTCTGCTAGCAAATTGTTCTATCTGTCTACAATTTATGCTTATTTCCATTTTTATACTGTCTTATTGAAGAAAGCACAAAATAATAAAAAATAAAGTCAAACCTGTTTTGAGTATATGAAAGAAATTTTAATAGTACATTGGAGTTCTAGCTACTTGTAAGTAAGAGTAACTTTATTTGTATGTTTTTACCATGCAATTCCATTGTGTAACTTTGGATGCAGTGACATTCAGATTGCAGAAAAATCATTTACATACTCTTTTCAGCTAAAATACACTAAGTGAATTTTCTAATGTTTCATGGTTTACACATTTATATATGACTACCTGGATGAAGCAATCCATGGATGGTCTTTTTGGAAAGTTCCAATATTTGATACCATTTCCTCTACAGAATGGAGAATGTGACAGATAAGAACCACCCCCACAATTATTTCAATTTCTCAAGCCAATTGTAGCCTTGATGCTATCGGGCTGTATTTGGCTGTGCATTACAGGTTAGCCAGGTTGAATATCATCAGGCCAAGTGAAACTGCTTTTTATAGGCTGATTTGTCAGCTTCAGACAAATGCTGTGTTGTTGTTGGCTAGAATATTTATTAGATGATTATTGACTATTTTTCATCAAATATTTTACCCAAGATCTTGTTGTTACTGAGAGCTCTGGCCCAATAGTGCCTCTCCTAGTGACAGAAATCTGACCATCTGTGGATTACACAGCCTCATCCCTGTAAAACATCCTAGCCTATCCAAAATGCTATATTACGAGTTAAATAAATATATATGTATTCAAGAGTTATTGATTGTCTCTCACTGGAGTTTAAGTTGTGGAGGGGGGTAGATTAAAAGAAAGAAAGCCATAAGTTAGTGGAATTATCTAAATGACTTGGGGGAAATAGATGGAGATTTAGGCCAAGAGGATCCAGGGCATATTGAAATTGAGATCCAATCATGAAGGCTTTGGTTTTAGGAGCAGTATGCATTCAGGAAGACTCAAGAAATAAATGTATAAGGCCCAAGAAAACATGGCACAATTTCACGGACTGGGGCAGAAGGTGGAAATTAAGGAAAACCAAAGAAAATCCCAGTGCTGAAACCTGTTGGTTAAGGTCAGGTTAGGGTCAGAAGTGAGCTGATTTGCTATTCAACTGCTGGTCTGTAGGAGGAGCCTGGGAGGTTCAGGATATGGGGTTTGGGCATACTTGAATTGGTGGTTGCACTGAGACTAAAGGGGACATATAATATGAAGCAAAGCCAGCTAGTCAAGGGTAGCAGCTAGAGGAATAACTTGAAACAGGTTGTCAGACCAAGGGCCTATGGGAACTGTAGCCCAAAGGCAAGAGGATTAAAATACAAAGGAGTCATGAATTTGGAA